AGGAGCCAGCAGAAGTCAATCAAGATCAAGATCAAGATAAGGAACTTTATAATTGCCAACGAGATAACAAGCTAAGCCAAGACCATGTATGGAAGGAAGACTCAAAGTTCCTGGAAAGGACACTAATGGGCATCTTTTCAACAACCACAAGGGACCACCAGAGACCATCCAAAACCCCCATGGAAGACCCCTCTCAAGAAGTCACCGACTCAAAAGTGGACTAATTAGCATAAGAAGATAGAAAATCACTAACCAATAGAGGATAGAATACTAATTAATAAGAGTTAGGTAACTTGTGACCAAAAAGCACTAATTCCTTTGTTTTCTGCAATGTATAAATAGGAAAAAGTTTGGATAAAAGCACTAATTTCTTTGTTTTCTGCAATGTATAAATAGTAAAAAGTCTGGATAGTTGGCTTGCACGCTTGGAGGAATGAACCCCCGTGCATCTGGCATCATAATAAATAATGCTTGCTTCTCAATACTACACTGGAGTTAAGGGATTTGATTCCTGATTTCAGTGACACTTTCACTGCATGACTTCACTCTGACTCTTTACTTTTCATCAGTCAATAATAAAGCATGAATTATTATCATACAGCAATCTAAACATTTATCTACCGCTTCTACACACTACAAACTTGAGAGAAATTGTCCTAGGATGAGATTTTTGGAGTTGTTTTTTTCCAACTTCTTAAGTCAAGTTTCTTAGAATTTGGTCAGATCTGCTTCTAAACAAACACATTCACTACAACTTCTCAATGACAGTACAGATTTTTAAAGAATGATCATGAAAATATACAGTATTATCAGTTTTTTGTAACTATTGCCAACTTCAATTATAGAATTAAGTTTACTCAAATGCAAGGGGAGGCATTCAGGCCACTTCATTTGCAATTGACTCAGAAAAAAATAATTCAACAGTGTGGAGCATATCTTAGATCTCCTAATTGGGTCATTTTTTTGTTGTATTCATCAGCCTCTTAATAAATCTCCTCAAGACTGTCTCATATGAAGATCTCTTTGCCCACAGCAAACTTCACACAGGTCATCATAACCATCTGGAGAGGTCTTGTGGCTGCTTTGACTGAATGTAGGTTTCTATCTATGCCGTTTTACAAATTTGTCGCAAACTTCCAAAACCATGTCTGGATTTTGTCTCTTGTTGACATTACATTTGTAGTGGGGCAAGATTTTTTGATGTGGCTGAGAAAAATAAATGGGATTCTTGCATTTCACATACAGAAAGAGAACATGCAGTCCAGGAACAACTTAATGGCTAGACATGGTTTTACTCTCTCCCTTGGAATGAACGTGTAATCAGTTCAAGAAATTAACTTCCTGACCACCAGCATCAGTGGAATGAAGACAGCACTCAAAGTCAGCCTCCTGTCAGGCTGGGTTTCTTCTTGTGCCACACAGCCAAAACAGGGGAAAGACAAACCTCCCATTATTCAGATCACAGAGCAGTTTGCTAATGCAACCCACTACCTGCAATTTATGCAAGCATTGAAGACACTTTAATGAAAAGAAGTAGACAGTGCAAAGGCAGCCAGAAGTCCAGTCAGAGCACTGCCCATGTGCAAGGCTGGGGATAACCAGTGATAATTCACAAGGGCTCCTTCTTCCTTCCCCAGCCCTGGGAGGAAGGCCATATTCCTCTTCAGCCATGAAAAAAGTTGTACATGCAGTATCACCTGCACTTGTACAAGAGTAGAATAACTCACCTCACAGTTCACTGTTGACATTCGTATTATTTGTACATTGTCTTATCATACTGTTAGTAGGATAACCTGCCTCCTGTACAATTCTTGCTATGATGCTTGTTTCACAGCTTGGTTTCTCATATTTCTGCTTATCTCCCATTATGTTTCCCCTCATTTTCTTCATTACTTTAATCCTAGTTCCCATTTCCTCCTAAACTTTGCTCCCCATCCCCTTGTGAAATGCTATCATAATTAAATAGTAAACAGTGCTGCAGTTACCCTTGACAACTGACGAGTGTTTTCAGCAGGCTTCCAATGAACAGCCCAAATGAGAGTAATTAAGATAATGGACAAGGCTCTGCTGCACAGGCACAGCAAGAGAGCTCCTGCAAACTCAGACAAGACACTAACGCATTTTGATTCACACCAAGTGTTTTCCTCACAAGCCTATCCACTAAAACATGATGCTGCTAATAATTTCAGATCTACAAAATCAAAATATATCCTGTGAGACAAACAAAGCTATTGGAATAACTAGTGCCAGCCTTCAAAACTAATGATATTTAGTTCTTGTTAAGCAGCAGAAAAAGAGGCTTGGAATTTTGATCTGTGTTAGCACCAGATCAGCTTCTGTTGGATGCTCCGTTACATGCTCAGTTTTCCAGCTCCAGTTTTAAGAAAGCAAGATCACGTTTTCTGAGGTTCTAGATACTTAGGTGCCAATGATGGCTGTGAGAGCTGAGTTTTCAGCATGGCATAAAACTAGAGTGAGCAGCAAGTATCTGAAAGTGATCAGTCTGAATCACAGAACAATTGCTTTAAACTTGATCTCCTTGATTCTTCCACATGCCACAATCTCTGTACGTACAGTTCCACCATGATTTCAGCATACCCCATCATTCCCTCTGTGTTTGTCACTATTTCTTTCTTTGCCACCAGCTACTTTTCCTCCTCCTATGACAGTGACCCCTCATCTCTGTTCTCATTCCCCACAAGCTGGGGGCCCTATATCCAGCCCATTTGTCACTAAGCTAGGGCCTGCATTTTCTTTCAGTTTTGGTGTTGAGGGCATAAAGTCCTCTGCTCATCACACCATAGGAATTAACAGTCTCAGAAGCTGGGATAGCAACGATCTTCTATCACACAGGCACTGAGAATAGATTAGTAGACAAAGAAAACAAAAAATCCCATACTGAGCTGCAAAAGCTTCTTCAAAGCACTAGTTTTGCTATCATACTTACAATCCCAAAATGCCAAGTTTCTCCCTTCCCATCTGTTTATTTATGACTCCTTAGAGATAGAATAGCACTGATCCAGCAGTAATAATTCCTCACTCGTCAGTAATGAAAACAACTATCAGAATCCAGAAAACCTCTACCCAGTTCCCTTGTGGTTTTGGAAGAAGTTGAGCTCTCACACCACAGAGCTGAGCAGAGCACTCAAAGTGCACAGTGAGCTTCAGCTTGCACCAGCAGTATTGTCTTTATCTGTAGCTACTGTACTATATTCAGTGTATACGTGCCAGGCCAATAGCACAGTAATGAATCACATAAGATACGAAGCATACCATTTTACCTAAGGAGAAAGAAAACTTCATACTAACCTAGAGTAAACAATAAACCAAGATACTGACTGCAGTGTAGTGTGCAGGCTCTGTTTCCGGGGGGGAAAAATATACATTATTAATTAAAATAACACTTTGTTCCCCAACACAGTTTCCGGCAAGACCAGAACTCCAATACATTTGATTAAGCCAGGGTAAGAGATTCTGTATCCCCTACTCACAGATGAAAGGACTTAAAGCAAACAAAACAAAAGGCCATACAAGTAAATATCATAGAGACCTACCAGTGCTTACCAGTCCACATCATTACTAAAAGACTACAATGACTATACAGTCATTAGGCACAGATCCATTAGGCAAGATACCATTAAAAGTTTGATTTTTAATTATAGCATGCCATGGAAAACTACATGCTTCAACCTAAGGTAGTTATTTCTTCCAATCAGAATCAAAGAATTGTTAAGGCTGGAAAAGGCCTCTAAGATCATAGAGTCCAACAGTGCCACAATCATCACTAAACCATGTCCCTGAGTGCCACATCTACAGGTCTTTTAAATACCTCGAGGTTTGGTAACTCAGTCACTTCCCTGGGCAGCCTATTCCAATGCTTGACAAACCCTTCTGTGAAGATATTTTACATAATATCCAACCTAAGCCTCTCTTGTCCTGCTGCTTGTTACCTGGGAGAAGAGACTTCCAACCTCACTACAACCTCCTTTCACAGAGTTGTAGAGAGCAATAAGGCTCCCCCGTGAGACTCCTTTTCTCCAGGCTTTAGCCCAACACCCTCAGATGTTCCTCATCAGATTTGTGCTCCAGACCCTTCAGCAGTTTCATTGCCTTTCTCTGGACTCATTCCAGCACCAAAATTATTTTCCTATAGTGAGGGGCCCAGAATTGAACGCAGGATTCAAGGTGTGGCCTCACCAGTGCAGATGCACAATCATTGCCCTAGTCCTGCTAGCCATACTGTTTCTGATACAAGCCAGGATGCCCATGGCCTTCTTGGCCACCTGGGCACACTGCTGGCTCATATTCAGCCAGTTGTTGACCAATGCACCCAGGTTCTTTTCCTCTGAGTAGCTTTCCAGACACTCTTCCCTAAGCTTGGAGTGTTGCATGGGGTTGCAGGACCCAGCACTTCACCTTGTTTAACCTCATACAGTTGGCCTCAGTTATCTTCCACACACTCCAGGAGCCTCTTATACTATTTCCTCTCCGTATCATATTTCCAGCTGACAGCTGGCAAGTTGAAAATCCCCTATGAGGACAAGGGTTAAAGATCCTCAGACTTTTGCCAGCTGCTTACAGAATAATTTGCCTGCCTCTTCATCCTGGTTGGGTGGTCTATAGCAAACTTTCACCATGATATCTGCTTCGTTGGCCTTCCCCTTGGTCTGTACTCTTAAACACTCGACTCTATCATCATCATCATTAGGGTCTAGACAGTCAAAACACTCGCTAACATAAAGGACTATTCCACCACCTCTCCATCCTTGCCTATCCTTTCTGAAGACTTTATAGCCACCCACTGCATCCATTGCAGCAACCTAGCTTCTGCTAAAGCTGTCACTTGGGGTTAACAAGATTTCTGGGGGGTGGAGGAGGGAAGCTATTCCCTTGTAGGAAATAGACAGAAGACCAAGTAAGAGAAGTGACCGCTTAAAAGATGTACTGCGCAACAAATGTACTCAGCCACTTTCAGTGGACTACTACAAAAAAATACTCACAATAAATCCAAGTTTTTTGTAGTCTCGAGTATACATAGATTTGCGTTTCTCAATACTACCACTACTGTTGTTAGGTTCAGATTCTGCATCAAATGCAATTCTTCGGAGTTCAAATATGATATCCCGTTGAGCCTATGTTAAAACAAGGTTAAAAAATGGTTAAAACAATACCACAAAAGGTGTTGCAAAATACTATATTCCCTCCACTGCCCAAACCTTCTGTGTCTACATTCCCTACTTTGCAGTCAGACAGACAGCAAGAATGACCTTGTGCTTCCATTTTCAAAAGTGCTCACATTTGTGAGAGTCACATGCAGACACTTAGGCACTGACTTCTGTGAGTGGAACCCGTGTTAGCAAGGCCTCTAACTACAGACTTCATTTTAACCACAGAAGCCAAGAGAAGACAAGCTTTTCAAATCAAGCTGGTACTTAAGCACCATGCTGGATGATATCAAAATGACTCAGGTAACCATCCATTTTTGCTAGTGCAGGAATGGGTAAGAGAGGAATTACTGCAGTTACATATTGCTCCAAATGGCTCAAGGCAGTGATAAATGTTCTATCATCAATACTAACAACTGTGTTAGTCACTCTCTCTGGAGATACGCAGTAGTTAACTGCATGTACATTCCCAAGAGTCAAACATTCCTGCCTCAAACATAAGAATCAGGAAGGATAAAATTCTACAGCATGATGTTACTTATGTTTACAACTATCTCACACTCCTACCTTCCCTTCTCCAAATTATCAGCAAGTCTTAACTTCCTCTTAAGAATGAAATCAGGTTCTTCCTTGTACAGAGACTAAAAAAGGCCACAAAACCAAAGAAACAAAACTAATCTGCTCTATGGGCCATTGACCCTATATTTAAATCTCTCAAATCTCCTGGGGAAGTGTCTCTTTTTCTCAGTGAAGAATATTAAAGCTGGTTTTGGGAGCAATAAAGAAATTAACAACTCCTATACTGGTTCCCAGTAACAAAAACGGGGTTTATTAACTTATTTTACACAAATAGGTATAACAATTAGAGTTGTCTTCTTCCTGCTATTACCAGATCATGCCAGATGCTTACCTGATCTTGTGGATCCATTTTTGTCATCATTCTGTCTTCCAGAAGATTAAAGGTAAGTACTTGCAGAACGTAAAGCTGATGTGCCATTTCATTATTGATAGCTCTCTGTGCCCTGATAACATGCTGCAAAGAAAGAGATACTTTGATGAATGCCATCTTAACAAAAAACTACATTGGGTGCAGTCAGGTGTTTCCATTTCTACAAGCATGTATTTGCTATACAGAACTGTATGTATACTTCAGGAAAATAAAGAAAAAAGAAAAAAAAATTAAAATCAAACACCAAAAAAAACCACGAAACTAAACCAGCACTGAGAGGACTTCACAACAACAATGCACTGAAGCTTTCTCCTTCCAGCCACTAGATAGGGTCTGTGTATATATTGACAAGTGGCATTAAAAAAATCCATTGTTGAGAAGTCACTTCAAAGGAAAATTAATTACATACCAACAGCATTAGAGCTCTGCATTTAAAATTCAAAAAAAATGAGATTATATAAAGAATATTTAAGATAGTAACTGTCCTAGCAGAAAAGTATTCAGGTTGCAAACACAACAAGAGGATAGTTATTTAATAGGCTCAAACAGGGAGACAACACCATGCCACAATCCTGCCTCTACCAGACAGCTCCATTCTGTGTGAGGAAGACTGCTTAGAAATACAGTGCCCCATGCATGCAGAATTATCCCGTTCAGAAAGCAGATACAAAACTGATGAAGTATTTAAAACTCCTCCAAAATACTACGTGGTTCAACATGGGAAACAGATGCAGGTCCCTAAACAAAGGAAAGTACATAAGGAAAGAGTCATGAAGTAGGAGATGGATGCATCAACTGATATTGCACAGGCCCAAAGAAAAAAAAGCCAAAAGGCACAGGAGCATTTTAGAGAGTAAACACCTAAGAATATTATCCATATGCTTATTCCAGACTTCTTATGAACTCAAGCAGTGTGAAAACATGCCTTCTGATATAAATTCTGGGAGTTTTGTATGCATCATTGAAATTATGGTAGCAAATGAGAAAGTCTGAGGGGTTGTTTGTGGTTTGGTTTTACACTGCATAGTATCTCAATACAGAGAGGGTGCACTTTCCCTTGTTCCCTTGAAGATGTTCTCTACTCTAAGGTCAAAAGCAAAACCCCTCTGATTTTCCATGATAGCAGATGGAGGTCTTCTATATTATGTTCACTAACTTCACTCTACTTTATGCTTCTGTTGTGCAAAAGATGATGAATTATGTGCAACTTTATCTCAAGACAGAATAATCTGCACAACAGAAAAACACAGAGGTATTCAGCATTATATTTTCATGAGGAAACCCCAATTTATTTGACTGGGAAAATAACCTTTCTGAAAAGCAGTTTTGAACCCATTCAACGACCAAACCTTTATCTTGTATATTACAGGCTTCAAAACATAGCAAAATACAAATGCAAATACAATATATTAAGATAAAACCTATGAACACCAAAACTGGAGTCATCTATTCTCTCTTCTAGTGAAGAGTAATTTTGAAAATTATATACTTACAGTTAAGATGATGGAGCGAAGCTGCTTTTGTGCCAAAATGTTTGCCATTTCCTGAGTAGGTAAAAAAAAAAAAAAATTATAAAAATTAACCAGAAGCAGGTATTTTAGTGCCATACCTAGAAGAACACTGACTTAAAAGGTATTAGTCTTAAGTTTCTGCAATGCTACTTATAAATGAAGGAAGCAGCATATCAGCTATATGACTCTATGCATTATTTAGAGGATCACAAACCCAGATTACTCTACTATGAGAAAAAGGGCACAAGCAGAGGACTTTGTTGATCTAAAACCATCATTTAAAGACCCTGTGCATTAAACAGAACATTTACACACACTTGTTCAAGCACAACCTTC